TGTATGTGTGTGTGTTGAAGTATTTGCCCTTGATTACTGGACTAGCAGTGAATGGGGTTGATGACGATGCGCTGTGCAATGGCTCAGCAGTTGCCCACCTGCTTTGCAGTTCAGAAACTCACAGGTTCAATCCCGGGCATTTGCCAGGAAGAGCTGGAAATGAATTCTACCTGGAGCCAGGGAGAGCTGTGCTGCCGGTCAGCCTCAATAAGGTCAGGCTAGGTGGTGAATGGAGGATTTCACCCACTACATTGCAAAGTGCTTATGAAAAAAAGTACTATGATACTCTACCGCCCCCTAGTGGAAGTACTAGAGCATGGTGGCCTTTCAGAGCGGTCTCAGTTTTCCCTCCCTGCCCTGTAATTACCGTATTTTTTGCTCCATAAGACGCACCAAATTTTTAGGAGAAGAAAACAGGAAAAAATAATCTGTTTTCTTCGCTCCATAAGACGCACAGACTTTCCATCCCCCTGTTTTGTGGGGAAAAAGTGTGTCTTATAGTGCGAAAAATACAGTAATTACTTTATGGAGTGATGTAGCTGTGGAGGTGTCTATTGGACAGCTTAAGCTATACGCACAGAATCCAGAAGGTGGATCTTTCCGACGCTGTTTCCACCTTTTGCAGAAATTTCCAGAAGGATAGCCGATTCTCTCTCAGGGAAAACAACATAAAATCTTGTGGTTCTGTAAGAACTAATAAATTATCCTGGGCCCTCCGGAGCTGCAGCCCCCTTCATCAGGGGCATCTGATCAATGTAGCGGTCCTTAAGGTTTCACAAGACTCTCGTCCTTGATTGCCTATTAGAACACATATCAACAAGCAATTGTGACATCCACGTGGTTGGGTGCTAAACACCACCGCTCTTTCCTGGGGGAACATGGGCTACCCTCCCTTCTCCAGGTAGACCCCAGGACTATTTGTGTGTGTGTGAGAGAGGTTTTCATTCAGGAAAAGGGTGGGAAGGAAGGAGTAATTTCCTTCAGCAAAAAAACAGACTTTTACCTGTTGTTGTAGCACACCCCTGGGGGGGGGGTGCTAATTGGCCACACAAAAGCCACAGGAGAGAAGGAAGGAGTAATTTCCTTCAGCAAAAAACCAGATTTTTACCTGTTGTTGAAGCACAACCCTGGGGGGTGCTAATTAGCCACACAAAAGCCACAGGAGATATTATGAAGCCCTGTAGGTTCTCCACCCCTGAGGCTCCTTTTCAAAATTAATTGCATTTGTCTACGTTTTCACGTGCATGCGCCAATGAGGCTCTGGTCTGCTTGAGTCTATTCAGGTACCCTTGGAAAATCAAGGGTGATCTACCTCTCCCATCCAGGGGATTGGAGACGAACGGAGCTAAAGCAAGGCCTGGTCTGATGTCACAAGACAACGCCGCTTTGTAGAACTAGAGCAGGTCTCGGTTTGGTCTAGATTTGGACAGGACACCCGGAGGAAGATGGCCTTCAGGGTATCCACGTGTGATTTCAAAGAGGTGCTCTCTTTTCGGAACGTACCTGGCAAGGACCTTTTCCATGATTCCTGCCTCCTGGCTCTTTGACCTGGAAAGGTTGGCCACTGAACATGTCATTTTGGGGTCTGAGTGCGTTCTTGCAGAATTATGGGCCCCTGGCAAGCTGGAGCACAGCTTGGAGAAAGTGACTTGTTTGGTCTACAAACCATCCTTTCGGGGGGATTCTGGGAGTGAACGTCAGAGATTTAGAAATAAACACATCCTTTCCCAAACGCTGAGTGGGAAGAGCCACGCTGTGCATCACCAGAGAGCTGCTGCAGACGGAAGACACCTGGATCGGCTTGGGCTTCCCAACATCTCTCTCCCATCATTCCTTCAGGGCGATCTTCCTTGTGGGCTCCGCATTTCCCAGTTTTGTTTCCTTCTCTTTTGGCTTTGCCATTTGCAGCTGGGAAGAAGGGAATCGGGTTGGTCTGGAAGCCTGCCAGACGCTGCCGTCCACGGGGAGGAGGGAAGGCGCAAGAAGTTCTGATCTCAACAGCTTCTTTCCTGGAACTCAGCACCATCCAGAAAAAGACGGAGATGTTCAGATTTCAGCGGGACACTCCCTCTCATTCTGCAAATTGGTCTGGGCCCATAACTGGTGCTGTTCAATATAGGGAAGAATATTGCTATGTGGACGAATTAGCCATGAGAGTGTGTACAGTATTTATTTGTTCCAGTTGGGTTTCTCAAGTACGTGAGGTGTTTGAGGAGTTCTTTACCCTTGTCCAAAAGAGTGAGTTTCCATGGCTGATCAGAATTTGAATCCGGGTCTTCTGAGTCCCACTCCTTTACTCTTTCTGCTAAACTATGCTGGTTCTCACACATAGTTATGGCAATGAAAACAATAATTAGTGGCAATCTGATGCCAGGGTTTAAGATACTTTTTGTTCATTTTTGATAAGGAGGGTATAACAAAATTGCATTTCACAAATAATGAGTGGTAAACAAGTTGCTTTGTTGGTGGAACAAATAGCATTTTGTCACTTTTTAAAGTTTCTTTTTTTGAAAGGGCATTTTTAGCGGTACTTTAGAAAAGGAAATAAGTTTTATACCATTCTCTTGTCAATCCTCCTTTAGTTTTAAAGCACGGGAAGGCAGTGAGAAGATAGCAAGTAATATAAGGAGCTCAGCAAAAAACCTACAGTACTTTGAAGACATTGGCCAGAATCCTCTAGGGGATTTATACCGGTATAGGTATGTTCTCTAAATCATAGCATCAAATTGCCTTTTATGAATGAGTTGATGTTCATATTCCTGGTCATGTTCTGGGTTGCATGACTGGCACGGGATCAGGAATGTACATGGCAACTGATGAATGAGGAATGACTCATTGCCATTGTATATGCAGTTGATTGTACACTGGCATAAACCTACAACAGGATTCTGGCCATTCTAATGAGAATGAATGACAACTCATAACAACAATAAAGTACTTCTTCAAAATATCAAGCTACCTGCCTAAATTCTAGCCTTTTGCACTCCTCAGTTCAACCCAAAGCATCTCTTATTCTTTTTGGAATTCCATGTGGAGGTTCTATTTACCCTAGACGTCGGACTAGTTGATAACAAGATTGACTGTATATATCTTTATTTATGTCTTTAAAAAAATCTTTAGAAGATCGGTGTTGCTTGTTTTGGTCACAAGAGTCCTAGGGCGGCTTAGAATATAGATGAGAATCGAGAAGCCGTTTATCCTCAATAGAATCACAATAATATATAATATTAGTAAATACAAAAGAACTGTGGGTTTTGAAAAGTCACATTCTGAGCCGTTTGTAACAACAGGGTGCAGAATTAAAGCAAAGGGAACACTTGAGCAAGGGGGAATTGTGTTGACCGTCTACCAAAGGGTGAAAAACAAGGGAGCCAAGCGGACTTCCTCGGGGCAGGCATTCCACAGCTTGAGCACCACCGTCACAGAAGGGTTACCTCATCCCTCACAAAGAAAGCCTCAGAAACGGTTGACGGTTGACGTTGTTTTGATCTCTGAAAGTTCAAACTCTGTCTGCGAGGGCCACAAAACTCTGTCTGCGAGGGCCACAGGTGTTGCGATTCCCTCCCGGTTGTGTTCCTGATGGATTTGTATCTTGACCTGTTGGCTCTTGGCCGATGCCCATCGCATCTTCATCTTCTGATAAGGCTCAGAACCAGGAGCTGACGGCTGAAGGGCAGGACTTTGAGAAATGTCTGTTCTTGCCACGGTTTCGAAACCGCAGATAGCTGAGGTTTGGCCTTCCCTCCTCTTCGAGTTCCTTTTGATGTCTTTCTCAATGCACTAGCCACAAACTCTGTGACACAGTTCGGTTCGCCTCGAGGTAGTATGGAGAAATCATGGAGCAATTGCTCGGAAGTATAGTTCAGTTTTTTTTTTTAAGGGCCCTAATTCGGCCAGGACATCTTGATGTTAAAAGACGCCGCTATTCTTTTAACTAACCACTGGCAAAACTTTATCAACATAAACCTGCTGCTATTAGGTTCCAGGGACCTACATGGTTTCGCCACCTCCCCTGTCTTCTTCCATCATTCCGGGGATATGCCTCTATACAACGGCTGGCGGGCACAAGCCATAAAAAATCATCAGTGTTCATTTAAACAAGCATATCTTAGTCGTCAAGCACAATTAAATAAAATATATTCCATTATTATTATACTTGTTGTTATTATTATTTAAAAAATACAAGACACAGTGTTTGACTGGTTTTATGTCACATGTACAAGTTTTAATCAAGAACCGAAGTAGCAGTTAATTATCAGTGTAGTGTGTACGCTGTTCCTAATATTGCCATGTTGGCGTTATTTCAGAGATCTGGGGCTGAATTATTATGGATGCTATTACTCCTCATAAACTCTCCATGTTTGAAAAAGTTACTTTTGGCTTACAACTCTCAGAATCAACTAACCAGTGCAGCTGCCTTTGGGGGTTACAGTTCCTAAAGTAACTTTTCTAATATCTGGAAAACAAAAATTGCTGCCGTTTGCAGATACTTTTCTTGGAAATCGTTGGCGCTTCTCTGCAAATAAAGTGACATTTTTAGACCTACAGTTGTTTTCCTTCTTGTTCTTTTACTTTATATTGCCTTTTTGGGTGGCTGATAATGGAATTAGGAACCCCTACAGCAAGTCCAGTCCTGTAATGCTGAAGGCTTAACTCAGGGCTAGCAACATCTGCAGCGCGTCCTCTGTTTAAGAGCTGTTTTAGTCATTTTATGATTTTGTGTTCTTTCTTTGTGGTGGCTTTATTCTGGTTTTATTACAGGCAGCATCGTTTTGATCCCTTGTGGCTGATTTTAGCTTGTGTTCTTTCATTGCGGTTTTATTTTGGCTTTGCATTGTTTGTTTTTCAGCGACCTGCAGACCTTCCAGAGAACGGTGGTTATTGGGTGGTCTTAAAAAAAAAACCAAACAAATATTGTCATAAAATACCATGTGCTCTCTTGGACCTTCTGCAGGGGGCTTTACAATCTGCTCATTCTGGCGTTCTTTCCTCTTTTTCAGGATACAAGACGCTGCTGAAATGTCTGTCGGGCAAGTTTTGCCGTCGGGAGCTGATCGGCATCATGGGCCCTTCTGGAGCGGGGAAATCCACTCTAATGAATATTCTGGCTGGCTACCGGTAAGGCAACGCTTCTGCCTCTTAGGAAAGCTACTTTTTAAGAGACCACTTAGAGAATCCCCTAGTCAGCGTGCTCTATAGGATTCTGGGAGCAGTAGACCCTAAATGTAACTTTTCCAGGCACTGGCTTTATCTTGCTTTGGCATCCATGCCGTGTTGTAAAATGTTTGATTCAGAGGCATCATGGAATCATGGATGCAAGCAACCTATCCGTGGCTTCATGAATGCCCATGGATGGATGAGTAGAGAATGCAGCCCACTGCCATGAACACCGCCAACTAGGCAGACTGGTGAAATGCCAGCTGTTATTCAGACCAGACCTCTTGTTCCTTTCAGGGAGACGGGCATGAAGGGCCAGATTCTTGTGAACGGGCATCAGAGGGAGCTCCGCACCTTCCGGAAGATGTCTTGTTACATCATGCAGGACGACATGTTGTTGCCTCATCTAACTGTGCGCGAGGCTATGATGGTGAGTGGGGATCCTAGGAAGTTCCTTTATGTTGACTCACACCCTTGGTCCATCCAGGTCAGTTGTTCCAACTGATGGGCGGTGAACTTTAGCATTTCAAAGTGGATTTTGTCCAAGCCCTATCTGGAGTAGCTAGGGCTTGAACTTCAAACTTTCTGCATGTGAAATTTGTACACTGTCACTGTCTTTCCCTCAATGCAGCGCCCAGTGTTCCTTCGTGGTCTTCTTTCAGTATAAATCAGGTCTGACCCTGCTTAGCTTCCGAAACCAGATGGGACTGGGTGAGGTCAGGGTGGTATCGGTTCAAGGGAGGTTGGAAATTTGGAAGGAAGGGGCATAGAATTTCAGCAGCCTTCCAAAGTTAGGACACAGAGAATACAACTTCTTGCCTGGGAAGGGCTAAGATGTCTTCATTTGGAAGTACTAACATGTCCCAAACAAGACAAAACAAAATGAAACCAACAAAAACAGTTATGGAACTACTACGGTGTACATTGTCCTTGATTAGCGTAAAAAAAAAAGTATTCGTGTTGCATAACTGTTTGATTCATTTCCCAAATTAGATGTTTGCTCTTTCTCACTCAGGTTTCTGCCAACTTGAAGCTGAACGAGAAGCAGGAGGTGAAGAAGGAGCTGGTAGGTTCACCGGTCTCCTAGATTAGAAAACCCGAACCCCACCCGTGTATTTCCTGATCCAAAATCAGCAGTAAAAGAAGAAGACTAGGGCCTAATATTTTCTCTCTCCTCTCCATTGCATATAAAAGTCACACTCCCCCCAAAAAATAATAATAATAATAAAGACTCTTATTGTTTTTATGCCTGACTTAATGCTATGTTTCAAGGTTTTGGACTCTGAAGGTTCAAAGGCTTGGGAAATATTTGGTTTGCCGTTCCCTTGTGGAAAAATTATCCTAATCTTCTGGCAAGGAAGCTGAGGTCTTCCTGAGACTCCTCTTAAATCTCAGCAGCCTCCAAAAGTTAATGAACAGTAGGGTTTAGCACCAGAACTGGCCCAACAGCAATTGACAGGGCCTTCTCCCGTGTTGTTTGGAAATAATGTTGTTATCTTTTTATTGCCTGCTCATTCTGCCTTTCCTTGAGGAAGACGGGATATAGAGTTCTTCCGTTGCACCCCCTCCTCCTCCCCTGACAACAGCCCTTGGAGGTAGGTTGTGCTGACAGGGAGAGAGAAGTTGGTCCATGCTTTTCCATTGAGTGGAGCTTCGTCATGGTCTTCCCCTCACGCTGGGCCTACCTCAGGGAGAGCCAAGCCCAGCGCTAGGAACATGGGCTGGCCTAGCTGTCATCAAATGAAGATGGCCCGACCTTTTGGCTAAAGATAACTTTCTTTTCCTTTTTTTTCTGGATCCAGGTCAACGAGATCTTGACAGCATTGAGTCTTCTGGAATGTTCTTACACCCGCACCATGTCCTTGTCTGGGGGGCAGCGGAAGCGGCTCGCCATCGCTCTGGAGCTGGTCAACAATCCCCCAGTCATGTTTTTTGATGAACCCACCAGGTAAGAACGGATCTTCCCAGGACTTTGGTGGTTGCGGTCCATCACCCCCCCCCACACACAGTAGGGATGTCCCCGTGGCTTCAGAGAGCATCCCATAAACCTCCTTTAGCCTGACAGAAGATGGGTGATGGTTCTCGAAGAAGAGGGCAGGATTTTAGGGTAGGACCGGGTTTCTTTCTGTGTGAGGCGAGTGGCTCGGTGGGTACCGAGAGACCGGTGGAGTAATTCCAAGGATAGGAAGTTGAAGATGAATCCAGAAGGTTTGTACAAGACCAACTGAGGTGGCTTCTTAGGAACTGAGACAGTTCCATAGGATAGTTTTGTGTGAATTAAGGCAGCAGGTCGTGGAGCATGCATGAAAGCGAGAGATCCCACCATCAAGGATAGAAAGGTCTGTGGATTTTTAGGCAATCACAAGTCAGGGAGAGATCACGAGGAAAAAAAATCCAGGTGCCGAGGGAACAGAAAGCAAAGCTTAGAAAAGCTATACAAATCTGGAAGTCGGGGTTTAAAAGCAACTTTGTGAAGCTCTGCCTGAGAGTGAGAATACACTTATGGTCAAGTGGCTGGTCCAGGCTCCCTTCAGGCCCCAAATTTCTGAAAACCCTCCAGAATCATGGAGGCTCCCTACATGGTGGCTAGGCTTCCGACCAAAGTTCCTTTTGGAAGACCTTGTGCTGGATTTCGCTCCTTCTTCCTGCCACCGTCTCTAACCACGGCATCTTCCCTTGCTCTCTTTCTTTGCTGCCACAGCGGACTGGACAGCTCCTCTTGCTTCCAGGTGGTCTCCCTGTTGAAGTCTCTGGCCCAAGGTGGGCGCACCATCATCTGTACCATCCACCAGCCCAGCGCCAAGCTCTTTGAGAAGTTTGACAAGGTGGGGCTTTCTGCAAAACTCGTGGGAACCTTCTTTCTCCGATGCTGTTTCTTTTCTGACTACGAGCACCACTGCCTTGCGCATGGATGGCCGTAGGACACGTATGCGTCTTCAGAAGGAAGACACATACAGTACTACACTTCCAGGCCCGCCAAACTGGCTGAGGAATCCTGGTAGTTGTAACCCAGAAAAGTAACTTTTTCTAACTCTGTAGACAAGATATGTTGCCTTCATCCCTGAAAAGGCCAAATGGTGAGGATGGGCCAAAGGAGATGCAGATAAGCAACATCTGGAGGGTCTTAGGTAGCTGGTTGTGTGGAGAGAGTTTGCAAAAGTTTTCATTATACTTTCAGTGAATTGAATTATACTTCCCCAGGTGGCTTGGTGGAGGAACGATAGATGGTTTGCTTGAGGTGTCTTCCTTACGGGACATATGTGGATTTCTGTTGAGGTTCCTCAGACTTTAAGGTGAATCTGCAGAATTGGCCCATGCCCGTTTGGGCTCACCATCACCCTCTCTTCCTTCTTCCTTCCAGCTTTACATCCTGAGCCAAGGACAGTGCATCTTTAAGGGAGCGGTGCCCAACCTCATTCCCTACCTGAAAGGGTTGGGTCTCCATTGCCCCACCTACCATAACCCCGCTGATTTCAGTAAGTGATGGCAGCCAGTTCCTACATGGACCTTTCATGTTTGGAGGCTGTGTTTCTGTAAATTCCTGGGCTGGGGGGTCAAGAGGACCAAGGACATCTGCTTTCACATGATCTGCTTATGGGAGAACAGGTTGGGCTTGGCTTGCGACACTGAATTAAAATGGAACATCCATGTCCAGGGGCAGTATATCCCAGAATGCCAGTGGCCTTTCTAAGACCATGTGCATTTTGAGGATGTGAGAGGGGGAGCATTTTGGTGGTGTGGTGTAGTGGGCGAGGGATGACAGCTACTGGGAAGGGAGCACCTAGTCCTGCTCACGCACCCAGGCTCAAGTCACAGGCGCTGCCTTGCTCCCTTGCAGTTATTGAAGTTGCCTCAGGGGAGTACGGCGATCTCAATCCTCTCCTGTTCCAAGCCGTCCAGAATGGGCTGTGCGCCATGGCGGAGAAGAAGAGCAGCCCGGACAAAACAGATTCCTCGTGCGCAGGACCGTGCGTGGCAGTGAGTAACCGATAATCCCACTTTGATCATTCCAACCCTCATTCCGGAAGTAGCTTCATCCGCTTCAGGTGAAGAGCACCCGTGGATACTGTCCTTCCTTGGTATCACCGCTAGGGGGAGCCATATTTACCAACCAAATCACAAGCCTTTTTTAGATTCCAGCTTTTGAGCACAGGTTGCAATAACGGAGCTTTAAATTTTGCAATCTTAAATGCTGCAAAATGTGCCCTCCAAGATATTGCTACCAAAGACTGGGAAAAAAAATGGAAATTACAATTCATAGACTCCCACAGGCTGAAGGTTGTCCAAGACAAAAACAAAATCCAGAAAACCAAAATACACTGCATATGTCGCCCCCGTGTTTAAGATTTAAGCTATTCAGATGTGCCAGTTCTCTGAATACTTTATTCTATGCATGTCCCTTCTTATTTTCTTTTCTTCCTTATAACAGTCAGCCATCCTACCTTGCACCAAAGCCCAGCCGGCCTTCATTGGCCTGATTATATGAGCCCCTTTGCACTTTTTTTCACTTATTTTTTTTAAAATCTGTCTGAAAATTTGAGGGTTCCCCAAACCTGCCCAAAAATGCCTATAGATGACAATGTTTTGGTTCTATGCAGATTTCCTGCTAGAAAATGGATATAACCATGAGGTGAGCCACCTTCTTGGAGCAAAGTGGCCCAGAAAAAAAATCAATGGTCTTGCTTTGCTTGTATTTGGTAAATCGCTTTGCATTTCAGTTTGATGGAAAAGAGTCAGCTAATAGAAAAATTAAAAAGGACATCTACCGTAGGACTTTCCTGGTGAACACCTTCAGGCGATGGCACTCCCCACCGAGGGAAGCTATTTGGCTTCCTCTCTGTTTCTCTTAAGAGTGAGCAAAAACATTTTCATTTGAGGGAACTGCTGACCATGAAGCTGAGTTGCTGCTGAAGAGCTTTTATTTTGAGACACGAGCTACGTCCTGCTTTCTGTTAATGGGTCTGCTTTTAATACAGTGGCGCCTCGCTTAGCGATGTTAATCCGTGCAGAAAAAATCACTGCTAAGTGATAACATCGCTAAGCGAAAATAAAAAGCCCATGGAAACGCATTAAAACGCGATTAATGCATTCCTATGGGCTAAAAACTCACCTTTAAGTGAAGATACTCCATAGCACCGCCATTTTCGGTGCCTCTAAAGCGAGGTATTCGTGCCTGAAAACAGCATGCAGCCATTTTGTTTACCTGGCGGCCATTTTGAAACCGCCTATCAGCTGGCCGAAAATGGGGGCTTTGTGATGATCGCTTCCCTGCGATCATCGCGAAGTGAATTTCCCCCATAGGGATCATCGCAAAAAGTCCATCGCAAAGCGATCTCATCACTATACGGAGCGATTGCTATGCGAGGCTCCACTGTAATTGCTTTTGAAAGCTGCTGTTGCTTGGCTGGGTTGCCATCCACACTGATTCCCGTTATTCGGGAGAAAGGTGGCGTATGAAATGGCGGCATAAATAAGCAGCCCAATCAGCAACTTTGGAGGCCTTTTCGAGGGCGGAAAGGGTTAAGGGGTCCCCCTAACTTCCCTGTCTTTTAACATTTTCAGGACTTGGATCACATCGAGAGCCACACATTCGCAACCAGCACCCTGACCCAGTTCTGCATCCTCTTCAAAAGGACGTTTTTGTCCATCCTGAGAGACACGGTGAGGACAGAAAGTTGCGGGGTGGTGCTCGGATTGCAGGCGTCAATGGGGTTCTGGGGTCTGAGCATGCTGTTGCAGCGTTTTGAATTTTTGGTTAAATTCCTCAACAGAAGTGCAGGGAATTCCCGGAGCAGACTAGCTAAAAGCTCCCCAGAGTAGTCCACCTCTTCTTTTTTTTATCAACTGGCACTTACAGTCTCAATAGCTCACTCTAAGACATTAATAGTAGAAAGGATAAAATGTTTCATGGCTTACATTTCTGAGCAGACTGACAGCAAACAGACAGCCCAGGAGCACAGCCAGCACCTTCTCAAAGAGTGGCACTCTGGTGCCGTGACTTACAGGATTTCCCATGGGCAAACGTAAAGTGCCAATAGGATTCTGGCTCGTGCCTGTAAAGACTGAAACAAAGGCTAAAGCAATTAACAGGAAACTCGCCGCGCCTGGCTTTCCCACACAGGTGCTCACCCACCTGCGGTTCATGTCTCACATCTGCATTGGCGTGCTGATTGGCCTCCTCTACCTGCACATTGGCAACGACGCTGCCAAAGTCTTCAACAATACGGGCTTCCTTTTCTTCTCCATGCTCTTCCTCATGTTTGCTGCCCTGATGCCCACGGTCCTCACCTGTGAGTATCTGCTCCCCTTTTACTTCTGGGTGTGTATTGTGGGAGAGAGAAAGGACCTTGTGCCAGGTGCTCCAGGGCTCTCGTCTACTTCTGGCACAGAGCAGGTAGACTGCCCCCTCCCCCCGAGGTTCTGGTGGTCCTAGTCGACCTGTGGCATGGAGCAGGTGGACTGAGCCCCAGGTCGTTCAGAAACCCAGCCTACCTCCTACCTGGAGTGGGTACGTTGCACCGCTTGTCTCCCAGTGGCCCAGTCTCCCTGCATCAGGTAGACCTCTCCTTCTCAAAGCAGCCCAAAATGGATGCCCGAGTGCAAGCACTGTAGCGCATCAGCGCTAAACAGGCCCGTGCTACGTATTTGAGAGATGGTTGCAATTGAGCCAAGCGGATGCACCTGATCCCAGGACAGGGCTGATTGCAGTCCCCTTCTCTCTCCACAGTCCCTCTGGAGATGTCCGTGTTCCTGAGGGAGCATCTGAACTACTGGTACAGCCTGAAAGCCTATTACCTGGCAAAAACCATGGCAGATGTTCCGTTCCAGGTGAGGGAGACGGGTGACACCGATTCTCTGTCCACGCCTGGGTCCTTTCCCTTCCCCCCAAACCATCTCTGTGTCTTTAATACGACAGACAGAAATGGTCAAGAAGGTGTTCTCTCTTCAGGTCATCTGCCCCATCACTTACTGTAGCATCGTCTACTGGATGACGGGCCAGCCTCCTGAAGCCACCCGTTTCCTGCTCTTCTCTGCCCTGGCCACCTCCACTGCTTTGGTGGCTCAGTCCCTAGGGCTTGTGATCGGAGCAGCATCCACCTCTTTACAGGTGAGCCTGTTGGCAGACAGTGGGGAGGGGTGGAGAAGGGCTGAGGGAATCCACTGGGGATCCGGCCCAGGGATCCAGTTCTATAGGAGTACAAGAACTACCGCATGGGATCCATCCACGTTTCTCGGTATCCTGATTCCAGCATTGAACAGAGGGAGATCCCCCAGGAAAACGAAAGGCTCTGCTGGAGAGCTCAGTGATTGAGGACCACTGGGGATCCGGCCCAGGGATCCAGTTCCAGAGGGAGATCCCCCAGGAAAGCTAAAGGCTCTGCTGGAGAGCTCGGTGATTGAGGCCTCTGCCTGTGGATCCAGAGTTTGGGAGTTCGATCCCCCCACGGTGCCTCTTTGACAGGGGCTGGACGGAATGATCCATAAGGCTCCCTTCCAGCTCTGCAGTCCTAAGATGATTAAAATGTAAATGTAAAATGCCCTTTAAATGACTTCTGAAAGTAAGTAGGTGTTACTCATTACCCCCTACAGGTAACTGTGAACGCTAGCTATGTTAGGTCATTATATGGAATTAACTAGGTATAGGTAACTCATTCCTTGTAACTGGTTGAGCTAGTTTAGAATATCAAAGTGTACAAATCGCAAGATCCTAATACGAGAGTCGGCGGATCCCTTTTAAAAAATCATCAAACTGCGAGCCTTTTGTGGATCAGGGCCAAAAACACGGTTTTGTTTTTCACAGAGGGCTTTTAAGTGGGTCTCTCTCTCTGTCTCTCTCTCTCTCTGTGCGCCCCTGGACCCCCCATCTTCTGCTTCCTAGGTGGCCACCTTTGTGGGTCCCGTGACAGCCATCCCGGTCCTCCTCTTCTCTGGCTTCTTTGTCAGTTTCAAGACCATCCCGACGTACTTGCAGTGGAGTTCCTATGTCTCTTACGTCAGGTGGGTCCTCCCGTAAACCTCATCGTGTGGAGGATGATGGGTGATCCCAGGGGTTTCTTGGAAACCGTCCCCCAACCCTCAAGGTGGTTCCATACCCCTCGGCTCCTGGGCCGCTGGGGCTCAGGCAGCAAAATGCCTCGGGTCCTCCTGGGCCGGTTGTGAGTCAAGGGCATTCTGATCCGCTCCTTCTTTTTCCGTCCTGGCTCAGGTACGGCTTTGAAGGCGTCATCCTCACCATCTACTCCTTGGAACGGGAAGAGCTGGAGTGCAAGGTCCCCGACTGCCCCTTTAAAGACCCGGTCAAAATCCTCAAGGAGTTAGACGTGGAAGAAGCCAAACTCTACCTGGACTTCATCGTGTTAGGCATTTTCTTCGCCATTCTCAGGCTCCTGGCTTACCTGATCCTCAAGTACAAGGTGAAGGCGGAGAGATAAAAAGGGGAGGGGGACCCGCCCGCCCGCACACCACCCCTCCCCTCCCCGATGCCCTTTGGCAGAAGCTTCCGGCGGGACCACCACCGACCCTTCCCGATGACGGACAGATCAGACTCTGCAGGCCAAAGAGGGAAGGTGTCGGGGGACCTGCGGTGGCCGGCGTCATGCGCTCAGTCGAGAACGGTTCTTGGAGCGAAAGTCTCGGAACTGTTTTAATCTTTACACACCTTCGCATCTTTGCAAGATGGCATCTCTCTCTCTCTCTCTCATTCTCTCTTTGTTTTGTACAATTCTGCAATGTGTCAAACTTTCTTCCGGGAGCAATATCATCGCAGAGAACCCGTCCCCCTGGTTCGCCCTCTTCCTCTTCCTCTCATCCCCATAGACAGTGAATCGGATTTCTTCGGGGGCAACTTTGGACTGAAGTTGGTGACGGGTGGGGGCAGCTTGGCTT